GCTTTTAACAATAAAACTCTGATTTCAGGAGTCTCCACTGGTTAAAGCCCTAAGTTTTTAAAACATCTTTTCCATGGGCAACTGGTGCTATCTGAGTCAGGGGGGGCACATGCCCCCCCAGTGACCAGTCAACAACTGGGGGGGTCCCCCGCAGCCAATCTTGCCTACCAGGGTTGGGGTGAGGTTCCCCTGCAGCCAATCACACTCACCTGAAAGCAACAGCGGAGCTCCCAGAAGCCACTTCTTCATTCTCACAGGGGGGCACTGGTGCTCCCGCCTGCCCCCCCACCCATCACCTAAGTGGCGAGCATGGCCTGACAAGGGGGTGCACCAGAGCTCTTAAGGGGTACATGTGTACCCCTGTGCACCCCCTACATGTCACCACTCATTCTTTCTGAGAATTCACTCTAGCACCCAGGAAAAGTGAGCACGAGCACTTCTACAGTGGAAAAACATAGGATTGCCCCTTTCCTTACCTTTTCAGGAATTGGACTTTGCAGATGGTATTTGTGGAGCACTCTTAACATGGAGAGCTGTCTTCAACCTTGGCAGTGCTCATGGCACAAAGAGAATGCATTACCAGCTGCATTGGAATTCACTAGTCAAGCTTCCAAAAAATCATGAGATTTCTATAAAAACAAAGATAGTGCTTTTTAAGGCACATTTTTAGCTGGTTTTTAAATTTAGTTTTAATGTTTACCCTTGAGAGGAGCAGTCACATTTTTAAGCTCCTTTCAGCAACCAGAAGGGCTAGAAGCTCTTAGCAACAAAAGTAGTCTCATGTAAAATACACTATCATGAGTTGCATTAAAATTGCAAACTCAGCAGCAGTGCCCACTCCTGCTGCCCTGGGAAAGAGGACCCTTGTTTGCAGCACAGTCTCTCTAGAAGTTCCTTGAGGGGAAGAACTACATCAGTGCTCTTCTGACAGGCAGGCCTGGTTGAAGGACACCCCCCCCAGAGATTTCCATGGAAACGGCCAGAAATTAGGAACAGCTTTTGTACAAACTTTACTGAGGAACTATCTGCAGTATATTGAAGCTTGTAGTGGATAAACAACTTTGTATATATAACTCTTATATACAACTATTTATAATACAGAGCCAACAGTTTTGCTTCTGCCCTTACACAGGTCTTGTAGTTGGTGTCCTGCTGGTCTACCACCAAGAAGTTCCTACTGACCTCACCCAGAGTCTCATGGGATTTCACACTTCATAGATATTCTGAGGGCGAGTCCAGATGAACAGGGACGTATTTCCCTGGGGAATGCCCATGCCACATGCTCTGTGGCGCACAGCAGGTTACCCTGTGTGGGGTAGGGCAGGCTGGGGCCAGCAACTGTGCTGACCCCAGCAGCCTTACCTGGGGTCCTGGGGACCCCCAGGAGCTGCAGCTGTGACACTTCTGCATCAGGAAGCCTGGTTGGCAGCCAAAGTGTGGCTCCAGCTTGCCAGGCTCCTATTTTGGGTGGTGCACATTGTCATCACGTGCACTGTCCTGCTTTTTTTTCTGGCATGGGTTTTTTTTGATCCCAGGATCTCTCAGGGGTCAACCCCTCTGCCACCCCACAACACATGCTGCAAAGGAGCAGCATGGGGAATGCCTGCATGTGCTGTGTGGTGCTGCAGACAGGTCTGTAGCGCTACATACTGACATACTGCATGTCTGCGCTTGTTTGGACAGGCAGTGCATGTCCAGGAGGACTTACTCTGCCTCTCTGGGCACATCTACACTTGCAGTTAATGTGCCTGAATAAACTCCGGCACAGTTTGCACTGGAGTTTATTGCTTCTGGGAACAGTGTTTACACATGTATCCAGACTGCAGCACATTGAGTTGGGATGGCACAGCCCTGGCTGGCAGGAGCCCTGGGGGCCAGCCTGCCAGCCCAGGGCTGCTCTGACCTGGCTCACACTGTAGCACCCTCATGCCCCAGCCAGCCCTGGTCGCTGTCTACATGTGTTGCAGCAGATTAAATAACTCCATCATAGTATAGTACTTGTGCTGGGCAGTACTGGCCCATGGCAGAGTTAATTAGTTTACTCCAGCCTAATTGCTCTGCATGTGTGGATAGTGATGCTTTACTGCAGAGTTAATTAATCAAGTCTGCAGTAAAGCACACATGTAGCTGTCCCCACTATCAACCTGATTCTCCCTACTGCCTGGCCTAAGCCTGAAAAGTGCAAGAAAAAAAATCTGCATGCATTTTAGAACTAAGGAAATTAAACTGGTTGTAACAGAAAGCAAGAGGGAGTACTTGGTGCCCATGTAGCTGTAATCATGCTGCATTTTCAATGCAAGCAAATAGTGAGCAAATTAAAGGAAATTAAATTTTAAAACCAGAAGAAAGTTGTTTTGTTAAAAGGCCTGCATTACACACATACCCTCCTCCTTTTTTAGCTGTTAGGGGAAAGCCATTTTGCAGTAACAAGGAGAGATGGCACTGACTTCATAGGATTTACATATCGTTCACCACATCTTTCAGGATGATTCCAGCAAAGGCACAAAAACAAACTGCTGTGCAAGCTAGCTGGGCTATGAGCAGCAGTTTAACTATATGTTAATGTACCCTGCTGACAGTGTGGGTGGTTTTTACCCCTAGTTTGGTTAGGAAGGTAAAGTGACAAGTATGGTAAGCTAGCCCAAGTAAAGTGCCATGCTAACATAGCCATTCTGCTTCCTGGGCTAGCTCAGGCATTACTGTACAGCACTGGTTTTAAATTAGATGCAAACTAGGCATAGTTTACTTTAAAGAACATGCGCAAGTCCTTGAACAGGAGAAATAGCACATGGGCAACTCCCACTAGCAGGAACATAATGCAGCTTGCCTGAAACCAATTATTACTGTTTCTCTCCCCACCAGAGGGGTGTGGACTGGGCTGGCTAGTGCTCAATGTGCCTCTTCCTCAGACCACTAGAATAGTATGTGTATATGCCTGCAAAATATGCCTGCAGAATATACATCCAAGTGTGGCAACAAATAGGTTTGGAAGAAGCACCTGGGGGAGGAAGAGAGGAGTCATTTTGGAAGGACAGAGAAGTTGCAGCAGGCAGCACTCAGTTTCTCACCATGTCTGGTGACAGACTTCCTTGTGGATGCCACTAGCTCAAGGCTTATAATAGTAACAAAGTAGATTCCTGATCCCATGGATAACCGTTGCTGTTTCAGTCCACAGAAGAAGGATCAGTACAGTACAGACCCACAGCACTGAGTTCTGATAAACCAGTCCTGAACTTTTGCAAGTTCTGGTTTACTATCGCAGCATAACAGCATATTCATAGAAGTAGGGTCAGAAGGGACCTTGTAGATCTTCAAGTCCAACCCCGTATTAAAATTCTCCGTCTCATGAGTCTGACCAAGCACCCAGCAGTGCCAGATTTCATTGCCTATTCTTTGGATTTCAGTTTTTCTGGGATTAGAGCTCCAAGTTCTCTGTCATCTCTGGTCTGCATTATGCCTGAGAGATATTAGATACAGTCACACAGGGGTCTACTGGTCAGAAGGGAAGAGGGAAGCAAACTTTAGGTTCAACATGGCTCAGTTCATAAACCCAAGTTCTGATTAGTGGAGTCTCATGCTGGTGCCTCCTTTTTCACATCTTTTTCTCAGAAAGCATACTCAAAGTTTCAACTGTAATGAGATTTTGTGGCTCCCTAACAACTGTTCTTTTTGTTGATGCAGGAGTTATAATAAAGAGGAAAAGTGGAGAGATCCCGTGCCCACTGGCAGTAGAAGCTTTTGCTGCTCATCTTAGCTACATCTGTAAATATGATGACAAATACAGCAAGTGAGTGAGTAGTGACAGTTTGTGGAAACAAATCCCCTATTTGTACTGGGCTAGCTTCATCCAACCCCATTCTGTGGTAGAGGTCCCATGTACTTCAAAGAAAGCAGAGTCCCGCTTACTGGGAGCCAGTGACACTGTAGACCAGCATGTAGGGGATTTATGTAGGAATTGGAGATGGCCAGATAATTTTGATTTAAACACTCCTCCCCTCTCTCACATATTCCATTATCCATTTAAGATACCAAATACTGGTACTCCTGCCTGGCTGTCTATCTAGCAGTGAAAAAAACCATGAAAACTGCATTCCCGACACAATTTAAATGATGTTAAAAAGCAGCTTGACAAAAGAGCCAACATGTTTGGAGCCAGGTTAGGGTGGATCTGATGTGGATCCAGAGGTGCTAAAAAGCTCTTGGGCTCAGCCAGCTGGGTCACCAGTCCAAATAATGGCCATCTTACTTGGCCATCTGTCTTTAACATGCACACATTGTCTCAAGCCCTGTTCAGAAAAAAATATCCCCCCTCAATTTAGAATCCAAAGGCCTATCAAGGACTTCAGGTTCAGAAACTCAAAATTCAGGTGGGTTTGGGACCTAGTGGTCCAATTTTGGCTCTCTCTGTCTAGCTGTCACGTCAATTTGGCAGGGGAAGAAAGATAGGATGAATGAACAAAAACCCACTCAGTGCTCTCTTACTCTTCATCCTTACCGAGCTCTGGATATAGAAGCAGGTGATGCACCTCCTTGCCCCCATTCCTACCTACTGCTGACAATGGCAAGCAGTCACTCGAATGCCCCAAATGAACGTAATTTGCAGCATGCTTCCCTAGGTCCAAATCTAATTAGCATGGGTAGAGATCTGATGGATGCTCATAGCAACTGATATGCTGCTCTGTCTTACCACAACAACAGGGAAATGATGGTCTAGTAAGCCACCAGGCAGCGACCTGACTATTGTAGGGGGAAAAAGCACACAGCTGAGATGCCACCAGCATAGCTAAGAAGCACAGGCCTGTACCTACTGGTGTAAAATTAAAGAATATTCATTTACTATTGAGAATACCATGACAAAATGATGCATAGGGAATCACTGAGTTATCGGGAGTGAGGCTAAGGCTTGTGGTATGAAGCAAGGACAGTAGAGCTCCTGGAAAGGTATGTCCTACGTTATGTGGACAGCCCTCAAATACACAGTCCCTCTTTAGGCAAAGTAGGCCCAGAAACAGTGAAATATAGCTTTGAAGAACAGTTTCCATTAGAGGAGAGGTGATAGCACCCAGCACAAGAGTAAATGTTCCACCTCTTTTAAGGCTTAAAACAGAAACAGCAGTCAGTTTCTCCACCGGAGTCCATAGCTCAGTGGTTCTCAACCTCTTTAGACTCAAGCCCCCCTGCCTCAGAAAATGCCAGCTCTTAGCTTTCACTTACTTTTTGAGTGCAGAAAAAGAAAAGAGAAAGTTGTGTGTTGCAAAGAGCTTCAGAAAGACCACAGCAGGTCAGAACATTTTGGGCACTGTAGATTCCTATTTGAGAGCTCTGGGTTTGTCTTGTGAATCGCATGCAGATGTTTGCACACCCAACAGTGCTAATATCGCACAGCCCCCTTAAAAGGTTCTTGCAGCACCAATTTCAGCCCCAGCATAGTCCAGCTGTGTCCAAGCTGGAGGGATTAGTTGCCACATCTCAACTGCAGTAGTCCTGATTCAGCTTTTAGCTGCAGGAGGACGAGATTTCATTTCTCTACTGGGAGCTGGTCAGTTTACAGCTGCCATCCCTTCATATTCCTTCTAGTCTTAATGAGCATCAGCTTAGGGATATGCTAGGATTAGCAGCCTCTGCAATTTCCCTACTGCTGGGTAGGTTCCTCTTTCTGCCCTTGCCTGTCTAGGGTATTTCTTTTAGTGCTATGCTTTCTTTTTCTTTCTTTCTTTTTTTTAAGCCTTTGGTTAAAATTATTTGTCTTCCTCACAAGTGCTGTAAACATGGTAACCAGATGTAGAAGGCTTTCCTGGTCATAGGTCAGTAGCTGTCTTTTTACACAGTTAACAAATTCTCTGCATTTTTTTCTGTTGATTCCTTATTGCCCTTCCTTCATAATTTATCTTGGGAAGGGGTGAATCCAACTGTACCAGAGTTGGAAAATGTAGATGACTGTTTAGGGAAACACTGCATTATACATGGGATCCAAAAGGGTTTCTAGAATGTTATAAGGTTTACTTTCAGGGCAGAACCAACAAAGGATTTATGTGCCTACATTCCCTCTAAGTCCAAAACTGTGATCCTGAAACCCTTGCAGAGGTTCCACCTAACCTTGGAGCTGCCTAAATGCCATAAGTGTCTGGTTCAAGTTTTTCGGCTGCCTAGAGCTGCACTTCACAGCATGTCCACAACTACTCCAGTCTCAATAGGATTGAGCAACTCTGCATTTAGTTTATGCCGAAGCCCGATCAGGATACAGAAATCTCTGCATTCCTCTTCCTTAGGTCCCTTATGGTGGCATATCATTGGGCATTCCCAGAGCGTTCATGACAGACACAGAGGGGATCAGGCTTCTCACAAAATGCCAGGATGACTACTTACTCTTAAAACATGGCTGGAGGTAGTTGTGCCTCCCCTTTTATACACCAGCCTAGTGGCTGGAGCACTTGCCCAGGATGTGGGAGCATTCCCTTCTTCTGCAGGGATTTAAACCCTATACTTTCCACCTCCCAGAAGAGCACCCTACTTGCTGTTGTGGGATTAGGGGGCTACCTGTTGGTCCATATTTGAGGAATTTGTGTAGAAGTTAGACACAAACTAATGTACTATCCTACTGTATACTAGTTCAGTTGTAGAGCCCCATTAAGGTATCTTCTCGTCAGAATGACAGAGTAACTGGAAGGAAAAAGAAAGACATCATTAGGCTGGAGGGTTTAACTGGCTAGACAATGAATGATGGGATGGAAGCCATGTACTTCTCCAATTTAAACATGGAGGGTATGAATGTTAGTGTGTGCATATGTGTAATTATTTGGAGTGGCTACAAAGAGGATGTAATTAGGCATGATGAGATTTAACAAGAAGGGACATTAACTGATTTGGATTTGGGATGCAGAGTGGTCTGTCAAGGGAAGTGGTTGAAGCCCCTTTACTTGGGACATGGAAAACTTAAAGGCAACCAAATAGGAGAAGCGCGTTCTAGTACACTGGATCCTGTGACCAGTCAGCCCTTTTCTGTCAAGAAGTTCTAGCACTCGTGCTCGTGTGATGTGGTTTATTGGCAACACTAGCACTAGACAGTGTGACTGAGGGCAGGAAAATGAAAGAAAGAGAGGGAGACCTAAAGACCATTTTGCAACTTAACTACAACAAATACTTATTTAAACATATTAAGACAATAATAATCCGTTAACTAAAGAATCCTCCTCCACATGGGCTCCTGTACACGTGTCCTATTTGGGACTGCAGAATCTGGGTAGAGGGGTAAATATCTTGCCTCCTTGAAGAAAACACATGGAAGCACTTGAAAGTTGACTGTCTCTTCCCTTTCTCCCCATTTCATAGGTATTTCATTTCTCATAAACCAAACAAGACCTGGCAACAAGTGTTCTGGTTTGCTGTCAGCATTGCTATAAACAATGCCTACATCCTCTACAAAATGTCAGATGCCTATCACGTGACAAGGTACAGCCGGGCACAGTTCAGTGAGAGACTTATAAAGGAGTTGTTGGGCTTGGAGGACACTTCACCTTCTCATTGATGTATTGTTCCTTGTGGGTTAGGTAGGGATGGAGGTAAGCAGAAGAGGAGACCATCACTCTGAAATGTCAAAGCAGGGAACTTGTGACACCACCAATGCTGCTCCCTATATGAAAATGCCAAGTGATGCCACTAGAAAGGTGGAGACTGTCAAAATTAGCAGCTGGCTTTAGAGGTGTCCTACAGAAAGTGCCACAGGAAACATCCACACATAATTACATATATGAATGCTCTGCGGGTATCTGTACATCGGAATTGATTTTAAGTTAGCAATTTCTCAGTAACACTTGTTGAAAGGCAACATCTGTTGAGCAGGGTCATCCCATTAAGATTCCCTTTGGGCTAAACTAGGAGGTTGTCACAAGCTGATAGAGTTCAACAGTCCTCATGGGGAATTAACTTGCTTAGAGGTCTTTTAACTCTGAGACCACCAAGGTTGGCCTATGCACTGCAGTATGGCTGAGAATGCCTAGCACCTTGTAGGGAATCACTGCAGTTATGACATGGTCAAAGAGAAGCAACAGATATGTATGTATATACTGAACTTTAACAGACAAAAGCACCCAGGACTTTGATGACTGGTTAAGATTACCTTTCTCCCGCCATCCCCCTGAATGCAAGGCAATCAGGTTGCAGTATGGGACAAGATTTAGGAAATAATCACATTGGGGAATTTTTTTTAAACACTATCAAAGTTGAGTCTTGAAATCTGGTAATATTGCCTTTTGTAACTTCCATACTCCCAGTGTCCAGGGGTGGGAAATCTCAGAGTATATAGCAACTATATTCTCCTGGATTTCATTGGGTCTTTGGGTTCTTCTAAGTGTTGCTTAAGGCCTGACATGACGGACTGTTTAAGTTTCTATCATCTATTATATTTGTTCTCTTTTCCCCATATTTAAACATCAACTTACTTTTCATCTTAGGTTTCATTTCCTAGTGACACACTTGACAAGAAAATAATTCACGGATAGCGTGATTTGCATTATCACTGTGGGGTGTTCTGTAGAAATTCTTCTTAGAATTTGAAATTTGTCACAGTAGCTTATAATTTTGGAAATTTATATGCTTAGAAAAATGTAACATTGTTTAAAAAAAAAAAAAAGACTTTTCTTCTGAGGCTCACCTTGCTGACACCCACCCCACCCCGTTTCCTGCATCCCGTCACTTCTGCCCCTCACCGGACCCCGCAGCTTTGAGGGGGATGGGACTCCTTTACCTGCAGGAACTTGCTCCGGTTCTCCAGCAGCAGCTTGTTGTCAGTTTTGACGGCCTGCTGGAACATGTAGTCGCAGAACTGCTCCCGCACGAAGCCCGGGCTGGCCACCAGCACACACTTG